TCACTCTAATCCCCAGGCCTAATTATGAAATCTTCTTTCACTCTAATCCCCAGGTGGCATCATTAAATCGTTTCACTCTAATCCCCAGGTCTCATTATGCAATCATCTTTCACTCTAATCCCCAGGTCTTATTATGAAATCATCTTTCACTCTAATCCCCAGGTCGCATCATGAAATCATCTTTCACTCTAATCCCCAGGTCTCATTATGCAATCATCTTTCACTCTAATCCCCAGGTCTCATTATGAAATCATCTTTCTCTCTAATCCCCAGGTCGCATCATGAAATCATCTTTCACTCTCATCCCCAGATCGCATCATGAAATCATCTTTCACTCTACCCCAGGTCGCATTATGAAATCATATTTCATTCTAATCCCCAGGTCGCATTATGAAATCATCTTTTACTCTAATCACCAGGTCGCATTATGAAATCATCTTTGACTCTAATCCCCAGGTCTCATTATGAAATCATCTTTCACTCTACCCCAGGTCGCATTATGAAATCATCTTTCACTCTAATCCCCAGGTCGCATTATGAAATCATCTTTCACTCTAATCCCCAGGTCGCATCATGAAATCATCTTTCACTCTAATCCCCAGGTCTCATTATGAAATCATCTTTCACTCTAATCCCCAGGTCGCATTATGAAATCATCTTTCACTCTAATCCCCAGGTCGCATTATGAAATCATTTTTCACTCTACCCCAGGTCGCATTATAAAATCATCTTTCACTTTAATCCCCAGGTCGCATTATGAAATCATCTTTCACTCTAATCCCCAGGTCGCATCATGAAATGATCTTTCACTCTAATCCCCAGGTCGATTCATGAAATCATATTACACTCTGATGTCCAGGCTGAATTATAGGATGTCGATCTAACGCCCAGATTGGATTATCAGAAGTTGACTATACTCTGATGTTTATTTCACTCTGATGCCCAGGTCGCATCATGATATCCTATTATACACTGATGCCCAGGTCGAATTATAGGATGTTGATTTCCTAATGCCAAGGTCGGACTGGCAGGTGTTCACCATGCCCTGATTCCAGGTCGCATTAATAGATGGTGAAACGGTGAGGCAAAGGGCGTGTATGTGAGTACCGGGAACAGCACTCAATGTCAAGCCAGGCAACTTTACTAGGTTGAGAAATCAAGTTAATTAATGAAATGTTGTACTTAGTTACGTTAAATAACATGTGCCACTCATGCGTTATAAGTCGTAAGCTAAAGCTTTATTACATTGTGCCATTGTAAAACAAATGGTAATTGTTTTGTTTCTATTAGCATTCAGTAGAAGCCAGTGGTGTGGAAGTTTTAGGGGGCCAGGGGTTGTCTAGAATCTAGAATCTTTAGAACAGCCCACATTAATCTAGCATAGTACAGATCATTTCTGGAAGATTGTAAAGCCTATATACGTTGCAAACGCATGCCTTCATCGCCTCACATTACATGAAGACCAGCAATTACGTGAAGATCATCCTGCATATCAATCCTAAAAATATTTCTGAAGATTGACCACTGCTATGTCTAGGTGAATATAATCACTATAGGTATGACCACTGCTATGTCTAGGTGAATATAATCACTATAGGTATGACCACTGCTATGTCTAGGTGAATATAATCACTATAGGTATGACCACTGCTATGTCTAGGTGAATATAATCACTATAGGTATGACCACTGCTATGTCTAGGTGAATATAATCACTATAGGTATGACCACTGCTATGTCTAGGTGAATATAATCACTATAGGTATGACCACTGCTATGTCTAGGTGAATATAATCACTATAGGTATGACCACTGCTATGTCTAGGTGAATATAATCACTATAGGTATGACCACTGCTATGTCTAGGTGAATATAATCACTATAGGTATGACCACTGTTATGTCTAGGTGAATATAATCACTATAGGTTTGACCGCTGCTATGTCTAGGTGAATATAATCACTATAGGTATGACCACTGTTATGTCTAGGTGAATTTAATCACTATAGGTATGACCACTGCTATGTCTAGGTGAATATAATCACTATAGGTATAACCACTGCTATGTCTAGGTGAATATAATCACTATAGGTATGACCACTGCTATGTCTAGGTGAATATAATCACTATAGGTATGACCACTGCTATGTCTAGGTGAATATAATCACTATAGGTATGACCACTGCATGTCTAGGTGAATATGATCACTATAGGTATGATCACTGCTATGTCTAGGTGAATATAATCACTATAGGTATGACCACTGCTATGTCTAGGTGAATATAATCACTATAGGTATGACCACTGCCATGTCTAGGTGAATATAATCACTATAGGTATGACCACTGCTATGTCTAGGTGAATATAATCACTATAGGTATGACCACTGCTATGTCTAGGTGAATATAATCACTATAGGTATGACCACTGCATGTCTAGGTGAATATGATCACTATAGGTATGATCACTGCTATGTCTAGGTGAATATAATCACTATAGGTATGACCACTGCTATGTCTAGGTGAATATAATCACTATAGGTATGACCACTGCCATGTCTAGGTGAATATAATCACTATAGGTATGACCACTGCTATGTCTAGGTGAATATAATCACTATAGGTATAACCACTGCTATGTCTAGGTGAATATAATCACTATAGGTATGACCACTGCTATGTCTAGGTGAATATAATCACTATAGGTATGACCACTGCTATGTCTAGGTGAATATAATCACTATAGGTATGACCACTGCTGTTATATTTCATACTGACATTGTATATATACTTACGTACTGTGAACTGTCTTTCTATTGTATACTGCCAATGTAATTGCACTGCAGTAATTTAACTGGTTTGTAAATCATTTCATAATGAGATTGTTTATTGTATACCATGACATTGTTATTTGTTTGTTTCACTTTGGGGTCAACTTTTAGTCCCAACTATCGACACATGACATCCTGAAGACACCAACAAATTTTCACTATTGTCATTTCAATTCGATTTCGTCATTATTACATTAATGAAGACCTGTAGTCTCAAGTGAATTCAAATTTAACACATACTACTTTCTATATAACATGTTCACTCGGAAGTGTTTGTTTCTCTTGTGAGGGGGAAGTGCTGACCACGCTCTGGTGGAGGAAGTGCTGACCATGCTCTGGTGAAGGAAGTGCAGACCACGCTCTGGTGGTGGAAGTGCTGACCACGCTCTGGTGAAGGAAGTGCAGACCACGCTCTGGTGGAGGAAGTGCTGACCACGCTCTGGTGGAGGAAGTTCTGACCACGCTATGGTGGAGGAAGTGCTGACCACGCTATGGTGGAGGAAGTGCAGACCACGCTATGGTGGAGGAAGTGCTGACCACGCTCTGGTGAAGGAAGTGCTGACCACGCTCTGGTGAAGGAAGTGCAGACCACGCCCTGGTGGAGGAAGTGCTGACCACGCTATGGTAGAGGAAGTGCTGACCACGCTATGGTGGAGGAAGTGCTGACCACGCTCTGGTGGAGGAAGTGCTGACCACGCTCCGGTGGAGGAAGTGCTGACCACGCTCTGGTGGAGGAAGTGCTGACCACGCTTTGGTGGAGGAAGTGCTGACCACGCTCTGGTGGAGGAAGTGCTGACCACGCTCTGGTGGAGGAAGTGCTGACCACGCTCTGGTGGAGGAAGTGCTGACCACGCTCTGGTGGAGGAAGTGCAGACCACGCTCTGGTGGAGGAAGTGCTGACCACGCCTGGTGGAGGGAAGTGCTGACCACGCCATGGTGGAGGAAGTGCTGACCACGCCTGGTGGAGGAAGTGCAGACCACGCCTGGTGGGAGGAAGTGCTGACCACGCTCTGGTGGAGGAAGTGCTGACCACGCCTGGTGGAGGAAGTGCTGACCACGCCATGGTGGAGGAAGTGCTGTCCACGCCTGGTGGAGGAAGTGCTGACCACGCTCTGGTGGAGGAAGTGCTGACCACGCTCTGGTGGAGGAAGTGCTGACCACGCTCTGGTGGAGGAAGTGCTGACCACGCTCTGGTGGAGGAAGTGCTGTCCACGCTCTGGTGGAGGAAGTGCAGACCACGCTCTGGTGGAGGAAGTGCAGACCACGCTCTGGTGGAGGAAGTGCTGACCACGCTCTGGTGGAGGAAGTGCTGACCACGCTCTGGTGAAGGAAGTGCAGACCACGCTCTGGTGGAGGAAGTGCTGACCACGCTCTGGTGGAGGAAGTGCTGACCACGCGTCTGTTACATGTTGTCCTAGAGCATGATTAGATTACAACGGAAAACAGATACCATGTTCACGTGACATATCTCATCACGTGTTACCATGGTTACTACTTCAAACACAGAGGAGACAGACGTACAATATGTGCATAATTCATTTTCCAGCGTGACAACAACAAAATCCCATATATGACAAATGACATATACATGTACGCGTTGCAAGACAGTTTGAACTACTCTTTCTGTCCAAAGAGAAGTTCAACAACCACGATGTCACATGACACATTAACTGAAGGCGCAGATAATGGCAGTTTGTGTGTTGATTTAACGTTTACGGTTTGTAGATCCCTACTCCTCGGCGTATTTGCGATGGGCTTTTGAATAAATGTTCATAATCATCAGACTGATAGCAGCTGGGGCAGCAGCTGGTGCAATGTACACACTTCTCTGACATACTCTGACATACTCTGACATACGACATACTTATTGCGCAATACAGCTTACGTGTCTAATATCTTCACTGATGCGCTTGGTATTCCTCATCTCGCATAAAGGATGCGTTTCATTACATCAGCGATGCTAATTTATTCCAAATATTCAGTTTATTTCTCCATGTGGAACCGTTTGTTATAAATCCACAGTGTGTGTATGTTACAGCTGTATCAACATGTACACATTGTACCAACGTGGGATTCGAACCCGGGTCCTTGACCCGGCGAGTGACGTCTTAATCACTAGGTGTACCCAATATGAGATAACTCTTATGTTTCCGGGGTTAAATGTATGTCACTGTGACATTGGCCACCCCGCTACGTAATGTCCCAATGTGTACACAGAACATACCGCCATGTAAATCATGCTTCTGTAACTTCAGTTTCGGCATGGTCCTCCGCTACAACGGCGGTTTCTATGGGTGACAATACGTGCTGCTCTTTTCGGGTCCCTAGTCTGCTCACTTTGTTTAGGTTGACTGTAAACACCTCCGGCTCTGTCCACTCACCTTCATGACAGTCAGGCAGTGAGTCGTGGGTCAGGAAGCTGTGTGCCTGGGGCCTCTTGTATAAGCTCGGACTGTTATTCACTGAGCTCATTACGACGTGTGTCACCGGCGTTCACATCTCTTACCTTGCAGGTAGGATCGTTCTCTACTCTTGCCTGGCAGGTAGGATGTGCTTTTGCTCACCTGTAATTAAGCCGGGTTGAAACAGGAAGCATCATACACGTAGACATCAACATGGACACACAGTGTTTGCTGGGAGTCAGCGACGTTGTCGAGGAAGGGACCAAGGAGGAAAACACGGTAGGACTTCTACTTCCACCTGTGGAATGTGTTGTTATGGTGCATTGTGCACGCTACCTTACTTCGCGGTAGTTTTAGTCAAACAACGAACACTTTGCCCAATGCCCTTGCAGTAAAGGGTGTTTACATGAACGGTTAACTGATAACTGAGCTAAGCATGTATGTGTTGTGTACCGGTGGACCTACAGGGCTGAGTAATGTACGAACCCTCGGCAGTTGGTAGGCACTAGAGACGACTAGGTGTAAACTCATTAAACTATTACAACTGTTTCATTTGATATGTCTACACTGTGATTATTTACGTGCGCGACTACCCGTCAGAATGCACTCATTTTCCGAAGGCTGTTTCAGATCATGTTTTTATACGACCATATCCTGTGTAACGAGCACCACATGTCGATGAGTCAACCCTCACTCTGTCGGAGTAACAGTACATGGAATTACAGGTGTGCGCAGATAGGTAGCTTTCGGCTGTAACTACAGTAGGCCTAGATACAGGTCAGCATTAGCTGTAAATACCTTGTGTAAACTACGGTGACAATTAGGAGACGCTAATTTATATAAATTGAGCTTTCGCGTCCTTTTCCTGCATTCATCGTGACTTGACAAGCAGTAGCTGATGTAGAGGCTGAATGTAGTGTACAGCTGTTCCCCAGAAGGTACGAAATCGTCAAACAACGAAAGACGGAACAAAACGTACCCCATTAGTCAAAACAACAAGGGTAAAACAATTTCAAGACCATCATATATAAAACGTGAAAAAAAGTCATTTTATTAATATCACCTCGACCGACATTCGTCCTACATTCCAACAAACAAAAGTACTGTTGTGGCGTCATCAAACACATGTCCCAGTTAATGTCAATTATTATGTTATCTGAGCCATAAAACAATGCTAAACGTACAATGAATGTTTTTCCCTCAGAAGTAATCACATAGCGTTATGCCCGTGTAACCCAAGTGACCGTATGGCTGTATGGGGTTGTAAGTAAATGTACAGTACTACATAGAACGGCCCACAATCTAAACTGCTGATGTTATTGCCTACAGCAGGACTACAGCTTTATGTAGGCTCATGTACGTTATGTAAGTTGTTGAAGTCGGAGTGTAGTCAAACAGGGCCTTGATATTCTGTATACCGTATTTCCTTCATTTGACACCCTAGAGTTTAATATTTATTTCACGCAAACTTTTGGCCCGTGGTCTATTTTGGCACAGATTATTTTATCGAATCTAAACCGTGTACTCTTCACACACCGTTTCCAACGACACGTGGTGATACCGGAAGTGAAAGGAAGTAGTCATTACACGCCGGAAGTGAATATGAGAGGGGTCATTAATTTCATCAAATAATGGACACGGCATAAAACCATAAAACCTGATCGCTAATTGACAGAGACCTGTTTTTCTGTTATTGGGCAGAGCCTCTGGCCCGACCTCAATTTGAAGCCACCGTGTACTGAATAGAGGAAACATGGTATATACAAGTTGTGCCTCCATATGATGTGGTGTGTGTAAGATTGGGGAAAGGGGTTACAGACTATGCCTGTCAGTAACGTGTATACCTCACTACAGTAAGTGGCTATCGGATGTAGTTACATAACGCCACTGTGGACCTAGTACTCGGCATGCTTGTCATCAGCTGTTGACTCTCGACAGTGATCACCATATATCAATATTAGCACATACCTGGGAACTCCCTGACTATAAAACATTAGTCATGTAACACTATTGTGTTTGTGAAGGTTCCGTCTTTGTGTACAGTCACTTGACACTGGCTGGTTCAGGGTTAGCACAATACAAACGCCTGCCCACGTCAGACCAGCGTCTCCTAGAACAATACTGATTAAATAATGCGACAAACAAAGCGTTTTACGGCGATATAAATGTCACTTGAAGGCTAATGTGTTGTGCTACAAACCTGAGCCGGTGTGATATTGGCCAACATTATGTAGATGTGATAGACCAGCTGATGCAAAACAGTAGATGCAGTAGTAGTGAAAGTAGTAGTAGCTGTTGTAGTGAAATAGCATTGGCAGTAGCAGCACTTGCTGCAGTAGCATCAATATCTTTAGGATACGTAGTAGTAACAATAATACGGGTAGTAGTTGCAGATGATGTAGTAGCAATAGGAAGGATAGTAGTTGTAGCTGATGTAGTAGCAATAGGACGGGTAGTAGTTGGAGCTGATGTAGTAGCAGTAGGAAGGGTAGTAGTTGTAGCTGATGTAGTAGCAATAGGAAGGTTAGTAGTTGCAGCTGATGTAGTAGCAATAGGAAGGGTAGCAGTTGCAGATGATGTAGTAGCAATAGGAAGGATAGTAGTTGTAGCTGATGTAGTACCAACAGGAAGGGTAGCATATATAGCTGATGTAGTAGCAATAGGAAGGGTAGTAGTTGCAGCTGATGTAGTAGCAATAGGACGGATAGTAGTTGTAGCTGATGTAGTACCAACAGGAAGGGTAGCATATATAGCTGATGTAGTAGCAATATGAAGGGTAGTAGTTGTAGCTGATGTAGTAGCAATAGGACGGGTAGTAGTTGGAGCTGATGTAGTAGCAATAGGAAGGGTAGTAGTTGCAGCTGATGTAGTAGCAATAGGAAGGATAGTAGTTGCAGCTGATGTAGTAGCAATAGGAAGGGTAGTTGCATATATAGCTGATGTAGTAGCAATATGAAGGGTAGTAGTTGTAGCTGATGTAGTAGCAATAGGACGGGTAGTAGTTGCAGCTGATGTAGTAGCAATAGGACGGGTAGTAGTTGTAGCTGATGTAGTAGCAATAGGACGGGTAGTAGTTGCAGCTGATGTAGTAGCAATAGGACGGGTAGTAGTAGTGTAGCTGATGTAGTACCAATAGGAAGGGTTGGGTATAGCCGATGTAGCAGCAATATGCTGATGTAGTAGCAATAGGACGGGTAGTAGTTGTAGTTGATGTAGTAGCAATAGGACGGGTAGTAGTTGCAGCTGATGTAGTAGCAATAGGACGGGTAGTAGTTGTAGTTGATGTAGTAGCAATAGGAAGGGTAGTAGTTGCAGCTGATGTAGTAGCAATAGGACGGGTAGTAGTTGTTGTAGCTGATGTAGTAGCAATAGGACGGGTAGTAGTTGCAGCTGATGTAGTAGCAATAGGACGGGTAGTAGTTGTAGCTGATGTAGTAGCAATAGGACGGGTAGTAGTTGTAGCTGATGTAGTAGCAATAGGACGGGTAGTAGTTGCAGCTGATGTAGTAGCAATAGGACGGGTAGTAGTTGCAGCTGATGTAGTAGCAATAGGAAAGGTAGTATTTGCATCTGGGTAGTTGTTGTGAAGGTAGTTAATATGACAGATTTATAGCATACATTGTAGCGGCAGTTCTATCTCCTTGCATTATATACGTTTCTGCTTTGCTTCTCAGTGATTGTCGTACATTTCTGCATATATAGTGTCAAGCATATAGCTTCGGGACCTTCCTGAAGCTTCCTCTTGGGCGCAGATGTTGGTGTAATTCAGTCCACATCCACATCCACATTCACATCCACACAAATACCGACACAAACGTGCACACTGCATCTGGTGCTAGTACAGTTTTATATTTCAAGGTGTGCAATTAATCAATTGAAAGTATCACTCTCGAGAAATTTTATGGTGAAATTATCTGATCCCTGGCAGTGCAGGGTTTAAAACATTGCAGATGTTGGCACCGGGATATTAATATTGATATCAGTTAATATATTACAAGTTATTCCATCCCATTTGATTTGTCTAGCAGAGCAGTTTTTGTCGTTAATGATTACACTGTCCTTACTCTCAGGTAATGGAATAGGAAGGGGCTTGTGTTGCCTAATTCCTTTGTTATCTACACTTGTGTGTGTGTTTGTGTGTCAATGATTAAATAAGCAGGTTGCGAAGTTCCATTGTTCTCGCGTCTATTTATATATCGATTTATATTGACTTCGATACATGTTTTCGTCTAGGAAGTTGAATTAAAAACCGATGTTCACATTTTTCGGTAATCCCTGCATCCGTTTTGTGTGTATGGCTCCATTAGCGCAGGTAACATAGAAGTTAGTTCTTGAAAAAGCATTGCCTGTTATGTATCGGGAAGGTTATTTGAGTGTAATCAGTGCTTGTGTTTACATGGCTTTAGGGCCTTTCTGTACACGAGCCCGCTACTTCCGGGTATACGTCCATCTGTCCTTGAGGGTATATAGGAGTTGTACACCCATCTTACATTGTCTAGTATGTGTATCGAGTCTATGAGGCGGGTGTAGAGGCAACAGTTTACACTCTAGGACTAGTGTGGGTGGAGAATGCAAGGCAATGCGTCATCCGAAGCATGTCGGGTCTGTTAGGTCTGATTGTAGGTCTAATTGACATGCAAGGTTTGTTGAATCTGAGAGACAGGCGAAGAAGGTTTTGTATGTACACTGGGAGACAATGACGTATGTGTATGTTGGGGGTCTATACCTGATGACAGTGGGCCTTTAGATGATTTAGGGTTAGAGGGCTTGGGTTGGAGGTTTTATTCTAGTATTGGTTGGTCAGTGGAGGCGTGGTGTTGACAGAGGCCGTTAGTTGCAGAGTATACTATCGTCATGCCCCGAGGCTGTTGTTTGAACGGATCGACGTATTGACGTCACTAAATTCATCAAGCCATGTCGGATAACGACAATTCGCTGTTGTGAGTTTACGTGCATTTGTAGATCGTCTTGTACACCACCCTGCATACAAGAAGATGGTCAATACTTCCTGTGTCCCGGTTATCAGATTTTAATAATGGGTTAAAGCTACGAGAGAGTAAGTTAAAGTCGCATGGTACATAGTTTAACGTCATTGACGTGATAGCCTCGAGTGGTGACGTCATATTAATGTACTATATTAACCCGACTATAATCTATGTGCAGTCTCCACAGGCTGTTGACATTGTTTGAAATGTGCCTCTATTCACCCAGCAGTCGGTGGGTACCCGGTAGGATGAAAAGCAATGTGACTGTTTACATTTTAGCGCCTCGGGTTGAAC